CCATGGCTAATGGATTTACAGAATTCCTATTTAACTTCATGATATTCCACATCACATTGCTCCTGACAAAGGTTTTTTGTTGTTCTTAGGTGCCATCGAGTCAGTACCGACTCATAGCAAACTTATGCACAGCAGAATGAAACACTGCCCGATTCTGGGCCAACCTCACTATTGTTGCCACACTTGAGCCCATGGATGCTGCCACTTGGCCAATCCATCTCACTGGGGGTCTTCCCCTTTTTCTCTGAGCCTCCACCCTACCAACTATGATATCCTTCTCCAGCGACTGGTCACTCCTAACAATATGTCCAAAGTATGAGAGATGAAGTTTGGCCATCCTGGCCTCCAAGGAGCACTCTGGCTGCACTTCATCCAACACAGATCTGTTAGTTCTTTTGGCAGCCCATGGCACTTTCAATATTCTCCTCCAACACCATAACTCAAATGCATGAATTTTCTATGGTCTTCCTTATTCACTGTCCAGCTTTTGCATCCATATGAGGTTGTTGAAAATACCATGGCTTGGGTCAGGGCACCTTAGTCTTCAAGCTGACGTGTTTGTTCATCAACACTTTTAAAAGGTCTTCTGCAGCAGAGTTGCCTAATGCATTATGTCATTTGATTTCTTGACTGCTGCTTCTATGAGTGTTGATAGTTGATCCAAGAAGAATGAAGTCCATTACAATTTCAATCTTTTCCCCATTGATAAGAATGCTATTTATCGGTCCAGTGGTGAGTATTTTTCTTTTCTTTACATTGAGATGCAATCCATACCGAAGGCTGTGCTCTTTTATCATCATCAGTAAATGCTTCAATTCTTCCACACATTCAGCAAGCAAGGTTGTATCATCTGCATATCGCAGGTTGTTAATAATGAGTCTCCTCTAATCCTAACGCCACATTTTTCTTCACATAATCCAGCTTCTTGGATTATTTGCTCTGCATACAGGTTGAATAAGTATGGTGAAAGAACACAACCCTGTCACACATCTTTCTTAATTTTAAACCATTCAGTGTTCCCATGTTCTGTTCAAACAGCTGTCTCTTGGTCCATGTACAGAATACTCATGAGCACAATCAAGTGTTCAGGAATACTCATACTTCGCAATGTTGTCCATAGCTTGTCATGATCCACACATAAAAAGCCTTTGCATAGTCAATAAAGCACAGGTAAACATCATTCTGATATTCTCTGCTTTCAGCCAAGATCAATCGTACATCAGCAATGATATCCCTCGTTCCACAGCCTCTTCTGAATCCAGCTTGAACCTCTGGAAGTTCTCTATCAATGTATGCTTGTAACCATTTCTGTATTACCTTTAGTAAAACTTTACTTGCATGGTATAGCAAAGATACTATCCTATGATTTCCACATTTCATTAGGTCACCTTTCTTAGGAATGGGGACAAATATGGATCTCTTCCAATCAGTCAGCCAGATACTTGTCTTCCAAATTTCTTGGCAGATATGAGTGAGTGCCTCCTGTGCTGCCTCACTTTCTTGAAGATTCAATTTTTATTCCATCAATTCCTGGTGCCTTATTCTTTGCCAATTCCTTCAATGCACCTTGGACTTCCTCCTTCAGTTCATTGGCTCTAGATCATACGCTACCTCTTGAAATGGTTGAACATCAACCATTTCCTTTGGTACAGTGACTCTGTGTATTCCATCCATCTTCTTTTGATGATTTCTGCATCATTCAATAATTTGCCCACAGAATCCTTCAATAAGGAAAGTCGAGGCTTGAATTTTTTCTTCAGTTCCCCAAGCTTGAGAAATGCTTAGTGTGATCTTCCTTTTTAATTTTCTGATTCCAGATCTTTGCACATTTCTTTGTAATATTTGGCTTTATCTTTTCAGGCTGATCTTTGAAATTTTCTGTTCAGCTCTTGGATCTCCTCATTTCTTTCATTTGCTTTAGCATCTCTAAGCTGGAGAGCAAGTTTCAGAGTCTCTTCTGACATCCATTTTGACCTTTTCCTTCTTTCTTGTCTTCTTAATGACTTACTGCTTTCTACCTGTATGATGTTCTTGATGTCATCCCACAACTCTTGTGGTCTTTGGTCTTTAGCGTTTAATGTAACAAATCTGTTCTTCAGATGATCTTTAAATTCAGGTGGGATATATTCATGGTCATATTTTGGCTTTTGTGGACTTGTTTTCATTTTCTTTTGCTTCAGTATGAATTTGCATATGAAAAATTGTCTGCTCCACAGTCTGCCACTGGCCTTGTTTTGACTGATGATATGGAGCTTTTCCATCATATCTTTCCACAGTGTAGTCAATTTGATTTCTATGTATTCCATCTGGTGAGGTCCATGCGTATAGTCGTCTCTTATGCTGTCTAAAGAAGGTATTTGAAATGAACAAATCATTGATTTTGCAAATTTTACCATGAAATCTCCAACATCATTTCTATCACCAAGGTCATATTTTGCAACTACTGATCCTTCCTCTTTGCTCCCAACCTTTACATTCCAATCACCAATAATGATCAATACATCATAATTGCATGTTTGATCAATTTCAGATTGAAGAAGTTGTTAGAACTCTTCCGTTTCATCCTCACTGGTTTTAGTGGTTGGTGCATAAATTTTAATAATAATGGTATTAACTAGGCTTCCCTGTAGGTGCATGGATATTATCCTATCACAGACAGCATTGTACCTCATGACTGATCTGGATATGTTCTTTTTGACAATGAATGCAACATCATTCCTCTTCAATTGGTCTTTCTGGCATAGTAAACCATGTGGTCATCAGATTTAAAATTGCCAATACTAGTCCATTTCAGCTCACTAATGCCTGAGATATCAACGTTAATGTGTTTCATTTAATTTTTGCCAATTTCCAATTTTCCTGGATTCATACTTCGTACATTCCATGTTCCAATTTTTAATGGATGTTTACAGCTGTTTGTCTTCATTTTGAGTTGTGCCCCATCAGCAAATGAAGGTCCCGAGGTCTTTATTCCCATGGGCTTTACTCCATTTGTGTCATCATGGTCAACTCTACTTTGAGGAAGCAGCTCTTCCCCAGTCGCATTTTGACTGGCTTCCAACCTGAGGGGCTCAATTTCAGGCACTATATCTGACAGTGTTTCTCTGCTATTCATAAAGTTTTCCGTGGCTAAATATTCGGAAGTAGTTTGTCACTCCTTCTTGTCTGTCTTTGTCTGAAAGCTCATCTGAAACCTGTCCACCATGGGTGACTCTGCTAGTATTTGAAATACCAGTGGCATAGCTTCTAGAATCACAGCAACTCACAAGTCACCACAATACAACAAACTGAAAGATGCATGGTGGCCTGACAAAGGAGTATATAGTAAATCTAGGGTTGTAGTGAGTAGAGAAGCCCTAGCAGCCTAGTGGGTTACCTGCTGGACTCTTAGCTACAAGGTGAGCAGTTTGATTCCACCAGGTGATCCATAGTAGAAAAATGAGGTTTTCTGCTCCTATAAAGATTTATAGCCTCAGAAACCCTATATAGGTTGGCTATGAGTTGGAAGCAACACCACAACACACCGTCATGACTACCACTAACACAACCAGTAAGTAGACATGATTTATAAGAGCAAAAGAATTATGGGCTAAGTAACAGAAAAGGTAGTTATAAAAACCAACTGCAATCATATGACAATTTGCAGAAACTAGGATTATAATAGTTAAGAACATATTTTCTCCATTTTGATATAGCATGTTTGCATATGTATTAGTAATTTGTTATATCCCTTCCCATTTGCCTACATGTAGTAACATAAAATTTGATCTTATATCCCAACTATTAAGCTACAGGAGATCTAAGTGGAGATGTGGCTCAACTAGAAGAGAAGAGAATATCACCTAAAGATGAAGAATGGATATTGTAACCTCTTTGGAGGAGAGTTAGTATGTTCTTGATTGCATGAGAAATAGTTACATTTTGTTAGGGGAAAGCTTGATTTTGCTATTGCCTTTTTTTGGAAGTTAAATGTTGTTAAAAGAAATGCATATGACAAAAGCAATTCCATGGTGACAAGAAATGTACTATGTGCTACGTCCACTTAAGTAAGCTGGAAATACATTTATGGTACTGCATAGTTCTGCACAAGAGTTGACAACAAGATAAATTTGTGCAAGATTTGGAAGGTAAGTAGGATACAGCAGCCATATTTTAATTCCTTGTAGGTTGGTGCAGGATTCAGGCATTGTGGAAACTTATCTATGTTATCACTCTTCTCCACTACCTCATTTTTCCAGCTCCTACTAGGTCTCCTTCTTCAGGTTTTCTTTGTCTTGGATAAAGAATGTGACATGATAATAAAAGTTAAGCACTTCTAAACATCACCAACTATTATGATACTAAAGTAAGCAAGAGTCAGACAGGTTTAGTTTGTCCTTGTGATTTCAATTTTACAAATGGCTTCCATTTTGTCCTTATAAGTCACACTTTTCCCATGCACTTTCTTGTTCATATCTAGCTTTCCTTCTGAAATGTTTCTTTAGCTGACCTATAGTAAGCTCAGGCTCAGTACCAGATTCAAAGAAAACAGCTTTTCATCAACTCCTCTACTAGCATCGACAATTAATCCACTAGTCCTTATAATTAATCTCTTACTCTATTTTGCTAATAGAGGTTCTACTTCTTTGACTGAACTCTGACTGACAAGAAACCTAAGAAGAAAGGTCTAAGGAAATGATCATCATAGTTATTCCTGATATAAAATTACTAGTCCTAACTTTGTGCTGTGAATATCTTTAAATAAAACTACCACTTTAATTAAATCGTACAGGGTTTCCGAATGATTTAAATAAAGTGGTAGTTTTTTATAGGGCAAATTTTCTCAACATTTGACAGCTTTAAAAATGTCCTATCTGATGTATTTTAAGTAAAAAAGTCAAGATTGAGAATGTATTTGAAGACTGTTACTCCAGACACCTGTTTCCAAATAGGAAGGTTTTACTTAGAATGAAGTTCTGTGATCCAGACCACATGTTAAGCAACCATAGTCACTAATATTTCTAGTCTGGGTACTGCAGGTGTTCATGTGAGCCTGGGTTCTGTAACAGGGAAATCTCTGTTATTAAGCTCTGGGGTTTTTGTTCAGCCTTCACTATTGCTTCACACACCGTGAGTTCCCAGAGAGCACAGAAGTACTTTGCTGAATCGTCTAGTTGTAAGGTTGAAATGATGAGGCTGATAGATTTCTTTTCTTTCTGGAAAATTGTAGAGTAGCGACCACTCTTTGAGTTCTGGGAAGAAGAACTCTGACGAATGAGGAATATTATCTCACCACTGGAGAGTAGCTTGTACCAGAAAATATAGTACCCTGACGAACTTGTTTCATACTGACAATCCAGAGTGACAGTTATCCCCTCTTGCATGAATTTATCAGACTGATCTTGAATAACATTCTGGGCCACAATGGATCCTGTGGGAAAAATCAGAGAACAGAATTGTTTTCTGGTGTAGGAAATCAAATATTGCAAGAATTACACTAATTGAGAATCTTAACATAAGCTGAATTGATATCTTGTTATGCTACTTTTCTCCTATTCTCATTTTTATATTCAAATCCATGCAAAATACCATATGCTGTGTACAATCTTTTCACCCTGAACATCCCTACCCATGCTTGGAATCTTCCTTACCAGAGTATGTGACGACTACGAACAACCACAGGCGGCTGGAGAGTGGCGTGTGGCACATGTTCCTCTTCACAAATGTGCTTTGTTCTGCTTCAAGCTCAAAGTGCAGTATCTTTGAGTGCTGTGCAGTGTATATACATAGTTCCTGTGTTCTAATGCTATTCCCCCAAACAGGAAATACAGTTTCTTCTGTGTGTCGATCACATGGCCTATGCACAGATGAGAAGAAAATCTGGCTGAATCCATATCTTCACTTTGTATACTTTTCTTTCCTTGATAATTAAATTAAGAAATACATGAAAAGGGCCTTGGAAAAAAACAAGTAATAGGGTTGTAGCTGAAGGCAACCAATGATTGAATCAATTTATGTATATATATGGATTATTCAATGGAATGATTTGGAGTATACATTTATTAAGGATCATGGAACCTCCTTGTAATCTACTTACTACTCACTCATTTTGCATATATTTACTTTTCTCCATCCAGATTCTAATGAAAAGTAGGGAGAAAAATTAACAGATCCTTGGCTTTGTCTGCAAAAGCCATTCTAGCCAATACAATTACTACATCTCTTTCTTAATGAGTTCCAAGACTTTACTTAAACTAGATAATAAATAAAACTACTTCAGACCAGATGAAATCAATTCAGCCCTCCTGACTTGCAGACTCTCCTCTGTTGTTCAGACTTCTGTAACATCATAACAAATGAAATCTAAGGGTAAGAAAAAGAATTGCTCCTAGGGTTCCAGTTTAATACATTCAACACAATGTGCTTAAACATATCTCTACAATTAGGGGATGGCTGCAGACAAGTTCCTTCCATAATACACGTGTTTTAGTCTCTTAGGTGGGGTGGGGGTTGTGTGCCTTGGAAGCGGTTCTGACTTACATATAGACCCTGATTCATATTCACCATGTATAGGGTTTCTGAAGCTGTAGATATTTACAGGAACAAAAAGCCTCATAATTCTCCCTCAGAACGACTGGTAGTTTCGAACTGCTGACCTTGAGGTTAGCAGCCCAACTCTTAACCACTATGCTAACGGCGCTCCTTTTAGCCCCATTGGTGGTGGGGATGGTGGTGTGCCTTGGAGTCAGTTCCGACTCATAGCGACCCTGACTCATATCTTCCCTGTCTAGTGTTTCTGAGGCTGCAATTTTTTACGGGAGCAGAAAGCCTCATATTCTCCCACAGACCTGCTGGTAGTTTTGAACTGCTGACCTTGGGGTTAGCAGCCTGACTCTTAACCACTATACTGCCATCGCTCCTTTTAGCCTCATTGTTGTTGTTGTTAAGTGCCGTCGAGTCGGCTCTGACCCATAGCTACCCTATATAGGGTTTCTGAGGAGCAGCTGGTGAGTTTGAACTGCCGACCTTGCAGTTCAAACGGATTTGCATTCTGGCACATTAGCCCACGGTGCCACACCAGGACTCCTTTAGCCTCATTTGTTGTTGTTGTTAGGTGCCATCGAGTTGATTCTGACCCATAGCGACCCTGTATAGGGTTTCCAAGGAGCAGCTGGTGAGCTTGAAACACCGACCTTTGCAGTCTGACACATTAGCTCACAGCACCATTAGGATGTCTTTAAAAAAGAGTTAATCAAAGTAATCACTTCCAAAAGAATTTTCTAGGCCAGTTATATTCAAGGTAGAAAGGTTAACTCAGAAGATTATGATCACTGTGTTGAGGACTCCAAAGGGATAATCTTTATGGATTTTCTTGAAGGACATAGGACACTCTTGGGAGTTTATTGTAACAAAGTCTTGAGAAAATGGAAAATCACACTGGTGAGAAAAGATCCAGGAAAGTTCTGCCAAGGATTGTTTTGACAATGCCCCTGCTCATTCTTAGAGGGTAGCAAAGACTGTCCTATGAGAACTCTATTGGGAGACTTTCCCTATCCACCCTACAGCCCTGGTCTTTCATCTTCAGATTTCTTTTTGATCTCAAAATTCAAAGAACATTTCAAATTTGAGTCCCTCAAGAAAACCAAAACTGTTTTGACATGGTTTAAAAAAGAGAGTGCAGAATTCTTTGGAGAAGCGTTGTTGTTGTTCAATGTCATCAAGTCAGTTCCAACTCATAGTGACCCTGTCGATACAGGGTTCCAAGGAACTGTTGGTGGGTTTGAGCTTCTGACCTTGTGGTTCACAGTCCAGTGTTGTAGAGACAGAAAAATCACCTTCAAAAGTGTACAGATTGAGATGGAGGATATATTGATGCATTAGCCCACAGTGCTACACCAGGACCTCTAAATACCAACAGCGGGAAGGAGTCTCCACATCAAGTATCAATGCTATCCCCTCTGTACACAGGGTAGATAGGGACGGGCAACTTAGATATTGACTATCTAAAATGAGGGGGTGATAAAGGCATGAAGTGACTGTCTTACCAGGTTTCAAGAGGGAGTTTAGTTTAAGAGTGTGTGGGAGAAGAATAGTTTTCATCTCTCTAGATGGACCTGGTTAAAAGAGATAGGGATAAGATTATTATGAGTAATTGCTATCATGACTAATTGCATCTGTCATAATTGTAAAAGTAGAAGTTTTGTAACAAAAATGGGGGAGTAGTTAATCTTATAGTACAGAAACAAAGGATCCAAGGTAGAAGAGCACAAGCAGAATGCGAGATCTTATCCAGAGAAGCAGTGACACCAAAGATGGAGGCAGAAATGGGGACATGGAGAGAGGGAGCAGCTGACGACTTCATGGAAAGAGAGGAACTAAGAGCTGATGACCAGGAGTCAGATTTGTAGAACAGGTCCTTTGGTGGTTTAAATTATATATGCCTGAGTGTTAAAAAAAAAAAAAAAAAGAACTAAAGTGAATAGAGAGAAATATTGTATCTGATGGTACATAGAGGGGATTATAATCATTGTAATGAAACAAGATGTATGATTTGTTGAATGTAAAACTAATGATCTTCCCTGTAAACGTTCACTCAATTCACAATAAAAATTTTAAAAAAAGAAAGGAAGAAAGAAACTGAATTATATGAAGAAGAACATGAGACTAAAACACTTACCAACAACAAATTTAATTTGTTAACTATTTAAAAAGCATTTTATTGTGTTTTAGGTGAGAATTTACATAGCAAGTTAACTTTTCAACTAATAGTAAATACACAAATTGTTCTGTAACATTGGATCAGTCTTTACAATTTGTCAGTAATCTCCATTTTTTCTTTCCTGGTTCTGTTTCCGTTTGTTCATTTGTTCAGTCTCCCTGCCCTGTATTGCCTTCAACTTTGTTTTCATTAAAGCGTTGCCCTTTTAGTCTCATATGTTGTTGTTAAGTGCTGCCAAGTCAGTTCTGACCCACAGGGACCCTGCAAAGCGTTTCCAAGGAGAGGCTGGTGAGCTTGAACCGCTGACCTTGAGGTTCAAACTGATATTTTAGTCCAGAGCAGTAACCCACAGCACCACACCAGGACTTCTTACTTTCACATAGTTGATTATAAAGAGCACATTCTTCTTGGGTTTTATTGTCTATTTTATAGGCCTGTCTACTAATTTGTCAAAAAATGGCCTCTGGGAATGTCTTCAATTTCAAGTTAGAAGGTTGTTTTAGAACAGTAGTCTCCAAGGGTCCTCCAGTCTCTTTCAGACCAGTAAGTTTGTTTTTTCTTTTAATTTTAATTTTGTTCTATGTTTTTACTTATTCTCACTAGGACCTTCTATTGTGACCCTGATCAGAGTAATTGGTAGTGATAGCTGGACACCATCTAGATCTTCTGGTCTCAGGTTAGAGGAGGCTGTGCTTCATGGAGCCATTAGTTCTTTGAATTCATTGCTTCCTTGAGTCTTCAGTTTGTTTCATTCTCCTCTACTAATAGAGAGACCAATAGAGAACAGTAGAAATTAAAATTTTTTCAAGAAAATTATTTATAATTTGAGTAAATAAATTTGAAATCATCTAGGAAATAGAATAGTTTAATAGAAAAATATGTATTTCTAAAAGTAACTCAAGAAGAAATTGATAAAAGACCAACATACCAAAAATCAGTTGAATTCTTCTAAACCAACAAAGGGAACTCTGAAAAAGGAAATAAGAAAAACAGTATCATTTGTGATAGTTCCCCAATACTTAGAATACTTAGAAATCAATCTAATTAGAGACATAAAAGATTCACACTTACTTCAATATATTTGCTCATTCACCCATTAAAGAAAATTTCTTTTGTTTACACTTTGCATTTCAAATAAAGTTTCTATAAGTCTTCTTTATATCTGGCAATCTTTTTAACTTGAAGATTATATCGTCTGATATTAATAATTGTTAATAGTCTATTTGTTTTTATAATTGTTGTTAGAGACTGTTGTGTCAGTTCATTGTGATCCTGTATAGGATTTCCGAGGAGCTATTGTTGGGTTTGAACTGCTGATGTTGTGGTTTGAAATCCATTGCTGATCCTAAAGCACCACACCATGAGTTCTTTCAATGATTGTTGTTGTTGTGAAGTGCCACTGAGTCGGATTTGATTTATAGTGACCCTGTATAGAGTTACCAAAGAGGGGCTGGTGAGTTTGAACCACTGATCTTGCAGTTCAAAACCAACCTAAGATTGAGTGTTTAACCTATGGTGCCACACCAGAACTAGGACTTACATATTATATTTTCTTCCATCTTTTTCTTTTAGCGTATCTATGCTTTGTATTTTGTTTCCTTCTCTTGTAAATAGAAATTCTCTTAGTTTTTCTTTTCTTATCCAGTCTGACAATAAAAGTAGCTTTTATAAATACATTGAATGCAATGATTTATATGGTTAGGATAAGTCTATCTGTTTTGTTTTGCCTTTTTATCCCATCTGTTCTTTGTTCATTTTTCCTCTTTCCTTGTCTTTTTAAAAGATTAGTCTAGCTTTCTCTCTCAGCACTATAGGATTGGCACTGGACTGTGAACCACAAGGTCAGCAGCTCAAAACCACCAGCTGCTTCAGGGTCACTGTGAGTCAAACAGACTCAACGGCACTTAACAACTGACTTATTATTAAGACCGCTTAATTTTTTTTTCATTTTTCAATGAATATCTAGAGTTCATAAATTTTATTTTTATCAGTCTACTTTCAAATAATACTATGCCACTTCATATATAATGTAAGAATCATAAAATATTATGTTTTCAAAATCTCCCCAGTTGTCTTTTTGTGCCTTTGTTATCATATTTTTTCTATGTATACTGCAAATCTCATGATGCATCATTACTAGTTTTTGCTTTATATTGTTGTTGTTAAGAACCATGGAGTTGGTTCCAACTCATAGTGACCCTGCACAGGGTTCATGAGGCTGCAAATCTTTACAGGAGCAGAAAGCTTCATGTTTCTCCCACGGAACAGCTGGTAGTTTCGAACTGCCGACCTTGAGGTTAGCAGCCTGGTTCATAACCACTGTGCTGCCAGCTTTTATTTAAAGAGATTAAGGAAAGAAAAAAAATTCTATTTTATTTTCTATATTTACTTACATACATGCCATTTTCATTTCTTTGTAAAATTTGAGCCTACTTCTGGGAAAATTTTGTTTCAGCAAGGTATTGAAAATATTTTGCAGTGAAAGCCTGCTAGTAACAAATTCTTTGTGTGTATTGTCTGAAATTATCGTCATTTCATGTTCATTTGTAAGGTATATATTTACTTATATAGAGTTTTTTTTAAAGGTTTTTGTTTCCCTCAAAGTTATAAAAATGTCATTGTAGTAACTCCTGTCCCTTCTTCTTTATTTTAAGTTTTTATTGTGAATTGAATAACAGTTTACATGAGAGAACATCAGTTTTACACTCATCATTTCATTGCAATGATTACAATCTCCTCTGAGCATCATCATTCTACAGTATTTAATTCAATTCCCTCTATTTTTGGGGGGGGCTGGGGGAGTGTGCAATGTACACAAAAACACTCAGGAATATATATTTAAACAGCCAAAGGGCACATTCTGCAAGCCTGCCTCCTGGCTGCCAGCACACAGCCTTTCTCTTTCTGAGTCTTGAGTCGACAGGAGTCAATGGAATGTGGTCAAACTCAGCCCATATCTTCATTGCTGCCTTTCCTCCTCTTCCACTCACCAGCAGACCAACGTGGTCACCAGCAATCTTACATGCCTGCCACTGAGTAGCATCCATTCTGCCTAGTCAGGGTTGATGAAAGGAAATGCAGATAGGTCTCTCGTGATACAGTAGTGAATAATTGTTATCAGGACTGATTGTAAGCGCTAGAAATGTAAGGGTAGACATTTTGGGACAAAGGGAGGGGAGTGATTAACCTTGCAGTCTGGGAGCGGAGATCCCTGGGACCATCAAAGGAGAAGAGCAGAGAATGGAACCCTACCCAGAGAAGCAGGGGTGCTAGGGATGGAGGCAGAGATGATGACTTGGGGAGATGGAGCAGCTGGAGACTTTGGACCTGGAGAGAGAGAGGGGCTGTGTGCTGATGACCGGGGTTCAGCCTTGTGGGGTATACCCTTTGATTGATGGATGATGCATGAAAGGGATTGTAACCATGGCAAGGAAACGATATACGAGGGGATCAATGTGAAGCTGATGTCTTCCCATGTAAACTATCACATAATTCACAATGTTATGTTATGTGCCATCGAGTCGGTTCCGACCCATAGCGACCCTGTACAGGGTTTCCGAGGGTGTAAATCTTTACGGGAGTAGAAAGCCTCATCTTTCTCCCGCGGAGCAGCTGGTAGTTTCGAACCGCTGACCTTAAGGTTCGCAGCCCGATTCGTAACCACTACGCTACCAGAGCTCCTTTAATTCACAATAAAGCATTTTTTTAAAAAATCTTACATGCCTGCTCATGTGTTCCCTTTGAGTTTCAGTTTCCAGCTTGGCTTTGTACTGAAGGGCTTAATTGCTTGCTTTAATGGTTCCCATGTGAACAACATGCTTGTTTTTGTAGTAGCCAATCATACTGCCAAAAAAAAAACCAAGAAGCAGTTTATTCATCACATAGGGTCACTCTGAGCCAAAAAATATTCAGAGGCACCTAATAATAGCAGTAACACAATGTATCAATGAAAACGAATCGACATATCTGTTAGTCTAAACCCAACAGCAGTGTTTGGCTGACAATCTCAGCTACAGGTTTGGGTAGAGGCTGCAGGTGCTTGCTAAACACTGTGCACTTGCTGCGCAGAAGTAGGTGGCTGAGTCTTCAGGCTGAGAAGTTGAGATATGCAAAGAGAAGTGTTTCACAGTTTTATTGAAAAAAACTGTGAATCTTTTGTCTTCATGTTTACTCACAACTGAACGTATGGCTGTCAAAAATTCAGGGCCTTTACCAGGGTATTGTCGATACCATGGGAAGTAGTCAAAAGCACTGTTATCATAAGTGCAGTTCAGAATTGAAGTCCTTCCTTCCTGGACTATTAGAGAGTGAGGATTTTGCATCACCTGCTGTCGGTTACTTTTCTCCTGTTGGCCACTCACCCCTGCTGAGAAAAATAATAAAAAGTCATTAGGCCTCCAAATTTATATCTCCTTCTTAAAGTTTCTATCTGCACAAGTTAGCCTACACCCTACTTTTTTAATTCCCTTAAATTAATGACAGAATCTGGGGCTTCTCCTCCATAACTCACAGCCTAGCTGAAACCATAGAATTAAACACAATGCTCCCAGGAGCTTGTTCATTCTTCCAGACTCCAGAGCTATGTGACAAGCCAGATGCTCCTCTGTTCTTCCTCACAGCTGCAACTCTGACTTTAAATTTGACCCACTTTCATTCTTTCAACAGGCCCCTCCCATTAACAAGTGTTTTCATCTGAAGATATTCTTCAAAGGAAACACTTCACCATTTCGCCCAAACTTGGAATTGCTGAAAATATGTCCACTGAGCATCAGAAATCCCTTCCTTAAATCTAGATAAGGATCAGTTTCAAATTCTTCTTTCCCAGCCTTTTCCTTACATCTCCTATAAAGTTTAGAGCTGTATTCAGGGAGAGCTGGCATGTCAGGTGTTGTTAATGCTGTTAAGTGGCCTCCCAGATGCTTTATTTTAGAATGGTGAAGGACTCTCCTGAAGCCACGTGGCCATCATGTTTATGGCTGTTTCTTTTCTGTTGTTTGTTCAAATTAGAGTTCATAATCAGCCATTACAATCAGAACATAGAGAAGATAGGTGGTTTCTCTGGTTTCAAGTAACTTAAACTTTATTACTATCTTCATATGTCTTCATATTTTAAGTGGACTTTACAAAATAATGGGAGTTATAAAAATCATTTTCAATGTATTTGTATTTCTGTGAAAACACAAATAAAACAAATTAAGTATTTCTAAGAATATGCCTACATGGGGAAAAATTGGAAATATTGAAAATGCCTACTCTGGGGCATTTTAATCTCCAAATGAATGAGAGGATGGAAATTTTGCAAGGACTTCTAAAAATAGCGGACCATGACCATCCAGTTATGCAGGATTTTCATTTATTCTCTACTTGAGGTTTAACAAATTTTTAAATTTTTCTTTATACATTATCTTCATTGATGACATATGAAGAATCACTCTTAATTTGAACACAGGCAAGACATAGAAGCAGAAATTGAGGATAAAGTCAGATTCAGCTCTAAAAATAGGGGTGATTTGTGTCAAAAATGTTGTTGTTGTTGTTGTTAGGTATAATCAAATCAGTTCTAACTCATAGTGACCCTATGCACAACAGGACAAAATGCTGCCTGGTCCAGTCTAATCCTCATAATTGTTGCTTTGTTTCATACCATTGTTGTTATCACTATATCAATCCATCTTGGTGAAGGTCTTCCCCTTTTTCATTGACTCTCCACATTACTGAGCATGATGTCCTTCTCTGGGGACTGGCTGCTTCTGACAATGT